GATAATTATCATAAACTTAAAAATACTTCTTTATACAATCATATCATTTAAAAATTATTCTTTAATATTTAAACGCTAACATATTTTAACCAATAAAATTTAATTTAATTTCACGTGACATTTCGATGATCTTTTTATATAATGAATCGTACTGTATAATGAAGTTTTTTCTAAAAACAAATGCTTCACTATATCCAGAGCCGACTGTACATTAAACGAAAATCATTTCCATATTTAGTAATTATAATACACCTATGAACGTTGTATTCCATCCCTAATAATAATAAATAGTCAACATGTATATATGTATATATGTGATATTTTATACATACATATCTATTAAAGAATGAAAATAATGGTCAACTAAAAGTTATGCCTTCAGTTGTTAATGACATCATGAAAATTATACATACTAATAAGTGAGCTAAAATTTTTAGAAATAACATTGAATTTGTGATGCAAGCAGTGGAAATAGTACTTTAAAAATCTGGATCCTTTAAAAATTTTAACTTCTGGAAAAAGAGTTTCTGGATATTTTTCTTTTTTTTTTTCATAAAATTAAAAATGAAAAATTTTTTTTCAAATTCTATTTCCAGCCCTGGATGCAAGTCACAATTGACGTGATTCATGAGGCAAGACACAATTGACACAACTCATGACACAAGATGAAATTGATGTAATTGACGCTATTCGTGATGCAAGATGCAATTGACGTGATTGATGTGATTCGTGACACAAGGTGCAATTGATGACTTGTGATTCAATTTATTAAGGACTTACTCAAATTTGTGCATAGATGTAAACAACCAAATTTTCTTGTATATTCATTTGTTATAATTACTAATCATGAAGCAAAAATTTTAAAAATACATTGTGAATTTAATAATTAATTTGAAAGATTTGTGTGATCAAATTATTCAATAATTTCAACCACATGAATATAATGCAATGGTTAAGAAATAATGACAGTTTGCAAAATATTGTTTTAAATAAAAAAGTAGCCAAAATTATGTAATAAAAATTAAAGTAATGAATGGTAATTGTTATGCAAATAATGAATGGTATATTACATTGGTAATAAGAGTAATTATATATAATATTATTATTTATTGTTAGATATATATAATAAATGAAAAAAGAATGAAAATAAAAATTTAAAAATAAGAAAAAAATATCTATGTACATAAAGAAAAATTTTTTTTCAAAATCTTGGTACACTTGTAGTATCCCATCACCATGATGGTCCAAAAAATATTACAAGTTCCAATATAACATTGCCACCTAGGCAAACCAAAAAATATTATATTGGTACCTTCAAAAATCTGATGATGCTAATGGTACCTTCCACCTAGGAATACCAAAAATACCAACCAGCATTATGAAAGATTATTATTTAAAAATTAACTACATAACTAAAAATTATATCTTATTGTATTATTTATATATTGTTATTATTATTTGTATTTTTTCTTATTGTAAAATTAATTATTAGTAACTAAAAATTGTTATGTTGTTATTCTATATTTTTTTTTATTACTAAAATTAATTATTGTTATTGTTATATGTAACTAAAAATTCTTAATTGTAATGCTAATACTACTTATTTATATTATTGTATTATGTATATTGTTAATTAAAGTATATAATTACGTTATAATATATATAATATATCACTATAATGTTTGTGTAAGTGTGTGTAGATTATGAAATAGATCTGATACTATTGTGAAAATTAACAAATTGGTAGATTGCACTAAAGTAATGTGAATATTAAAATGAAGGAATTGATTTTGGAAAAGACAAAGAATGGGATGAGTAAGTGTATGTAAGGTAAGGTGTGTGATATTCAAAAAAACAGTTGACCAGAACCAAAAATTGAAACCATCTAATAAAAATTAATTAAAAATTATTGTTAATTATGATTTTAAAGTTATCCATTTTAAAAAAAAAATAATAATAAATTATTTGGTGTTATCATCATTGGCACTTTGAATAGAGAGGTAGTTTTTTTCATTAAAATATTCTGGAAATTTATATCCATCTTTTAGTATATCAACTGGGTCTTCGTAATTACACTCACTTGCTACATGTTCATCATTATTGTCAATGTTAAAGCATCTATAGCAACTTTTGCCCAAAAATTGTTCCTTGATATTTGGGCATGTTTCCATGTAGTGTCCATAATATGCACAAAAAAAACAGGGGCCCTTTTTTGTTGGCCATGGAGAATTACTTGCAGAGATATACACTCCATTTGATGACATTAATGCTGATGGTGATGATGATATGGTAGTAGTGGTGGTGGAGTTGCTATTAGGATTTTTTGATATAAGGTCTAAAGTTTGCTTATGTATATCTAAAAACTTGTTATGTGTCTCCAAAATTTGCTTAATGTTACTATTGCCATCATGACTGTTATTATTATTACTGTTGGCTAGTGAATGTATATGAGTCATTATAGAATAAATAAATTATTGCAGTCAGGGAATATGCTAAATTTGGTATTTCCTAATTTATAAATGATAAACGTTCTGGAATTTCTTTAGAAGAAAAT